CAAGCCGCCGGGTCTGGGACTCAAGCCACAATTGGCCACGTGGGAATCTAGTGCCTTAATTGCCACGCCACCTGCTGACCCAGTTCATGTTCTTGTTTTTTGAGAGATTATTTTGTTGCTGTTGGGTGCACGTGCTCACCAAAGAGACAGAGACAAAAAGCGAGAAATCACCCCCAGAGGGGATGGCCACACTACAATCTCTTCTCCATTCCCTTCTTGGGATTTTAGGCACGCACGTACACGTGCCTGGTGTCTCAAGCCGCAGGGTCTAGGACTGTAGTGGACTATGTGGGTGTCCAGCGACATAATCATTTCACCATCTGCTGGTCTCTCTCTCTCTTTTTCTTTTTAGGGAGATTTTTGCTGTAGGGTACATGTGCTTGCTGGAGAGACAGACAAAGAGAAAGTGAGAAATCATCCCCCCAGGGAGCATGGGCACACTGCAGTTCCTTCTCTTGGAATTTTGTGCAAACATGAGTTTCAAACTCTGGGTCTAGGACTTGAACCACAGATGGCCATGTGGGGGTCTAGTGCCTTAGCCACCAGGCCATGTGTTTTATATTGTGCCTTGCTGCAGTACAAAGTAGCTCGTGTTCTGCATTGTAGAAACTACTGGTGTAGGAGAAGAGGTTCAAACTCAGGTGCCAAATTAGTCTTGGCCATGTTATTGCATCTATAATAGTTGCTCTCTCTCTCTCTTTTTTTTTTTTTTTTGAGAGGTTGTTTGCCATAGGGCGCATGCACTCGCCAGCAAGAGAGACAGAAGGCGAAAAATCACCCCCCAGGGTGGGGGGGACGGCCACACCGCAATCCCTTCTCTTCCATTCTCTTCTCGGGATGCTGGGCACGAACGCACACTTGTCCTGTGTGAGTTTAAGCCACTGGGTCCGGGACTTGAACCGCGGTTGACTACATGGGAGACCAGCGACGTAGCCATTATGCTAACTGCTGGTCCCTATAAGGTTGCTCTCTTCATCTAGTGATAATGTTTCTTACCTAATGCAGGATGCCTAGGGGTGTGAAAGTCCTAGTGGAGTAAAGAACAGTGGAAGCAAGGAAAGAGATGGGCATGATGAGTCGATGAGTCCCTGGACCTGATTCGCCGGGCTCAGAGCAGGGCCAGCAGGTGGTGTGGGGCTTAAGGCACTGGACTCTCCCACAGGGCTGACCACCATTTGAGTCCTGGACCTGGTGGCTTGCTTTGTCAACTTCCCCCCCTCTCTGTGTTTCTCTCTGGTCAAATTAAATGAATAATTAAAATAAATCTTTTTTTAAATAAATAATTCTGGTTACGTCAGCTTTCCTGATGTACTAGGTATTTGCTAGTTCATCGCTCCTGTCTCTACTGACTAGTGACATTTTTTTTTTCATGTGCTTATTTGGTATCCTGATTTTTTTGTTGTCTATTTACATCTTTTTACCTATCTTAAAATTGCGTTGTCTGGGGCAAGCAAATAGTGTGGAGGTTAAGGTTGACTGGATCTCACATGGCTAACTATATATGTGAATCAAGCTCTGGACTTGGTGGCTTAAAAATAATGGTGTGTGGGACCAGCAGTTAGCATAATGGCTATGTCGCTGGACTCCCACGTAGTAGACCACGGTTCGAGTCCCGGACCTGGTGGCTTAAAACTCACGCCAGGTGTGTGTGCGAGCGTGCCCAAGATCCTAAGAGGAGAACGGAGGAGAAGGGACTGAGGCGTGGCCATCCTCCCTGGGGGTGATTTCTCGCTTTCTGTCTGTCTGTCTGGCGAGTGCACGTGCCCTATAGCAAAAACCTCTACAAAAAAAAAACAAAAACGGTGTATGTGCGTGTGTGTGTGCACCCAAGATCTTTGGAAAAGAAGAGATTGTGGTGTGTCCACTCCCCTTGGGAGGGTGATTTCTCCCTTTTCCTTTCTCTCTCCAGTGAGCACACACATCCTATAGGAGAGTAAAAAAATAAATAAATAAAAATTGAGTTATCTGAGTTGTAACTTCTTTATATAAATTCTAGGCACATGTTCTTTGCTGGATAGATGTTTTGCATAGATTTTTCTCCCAGTTTGTGACTTGCCTTTCCATTTTAAAGAGCAAAAGGTTTCTTTTAGAGAGTAATTTTTGCTCTATGGTGCGTGTGCTCGCTGGGGAGACAGAAAGTGAGAAATCAACCCCCCCAGGGGAAATGACCATGCCAGTCCTTTCTCCTCCATTCTCCTCTTGAGATTTTGGGCATGCATGCACATGTGCCTGGTGTGAGTTTTAAGCCACTGGGGCTGGGACTTGAACCACAGTTGACTATGTGGGAGTCCAGCGATGTAACCACTACATCATTTGCTGGTGCCCAAGAGCAAAATCTTACATTTTGATGTCTAATTTATCAATATAAATGTAATTATTGCCCTTTTTCTAGTTTGTTCTTCTTGTATCTTATTTTAAGAAATTGTGTATTGGTGTTCCTTGGCTACTAAGGCAGCTCAGCTTTCAGAGGGCACCTGAGATTTTGTATTGTTTATATAGTTTGTCTGAAAATAACCAGTGCCAGTGGGGAGGAGGGCAGTTTTAGCCTGCTTCCTGAATTCGATTCTTGAAACCCATTTGTTTATTTATCCATCCCGCCATCAATTCAACAAATATTTACTGAGAGCTGCCATATGCCAGGTCCTAGTACTGTCTGAAGCACTGCGGCTGTGGTAGTTGGCAAGATACACAGATATCCTGCTCTGTGTCTTTTCTTTTTTTCTTTTTTTTGGAGAGGTTTTTGGTATAGGGCATGTGCGCTCGTCAGACAGACAGAGAGAGACAGAGAGACAGAAAGTGAGAAATCACCCCCCAGGGGGGATGGTCACGCTGCAATCCCTTCTCCTCCATTCTCCTCTTGGGATTTTGGGCACGCACACACACACGCCCGGCATGAGTCCAAGCCACCGGGTCTGGGACTCGAACCATGGTCAACTACGTGGGAGTCCAGCGACATAGCCATTACGCTAACTGCTGGTCCCTGCTCTGTGTCTTTTAAGAGCAGACTCAAAATGAGTTATTCAAAAATAGAGTGTACAAATGATCAGTAGAGCTTCAAATAACTTTGGAAGACTCGTTCTGCTTCCTTATATTATATTTATTATATTCACATGGGCTCAATCTAAAATGGAGTCCTAGGTAGTAGGAGTATTATAGATAGAAAGTCCTCGCAGAAAAAAAAATTTTTAATTATTTAATTTTAGGACCAACAGATGGAATAGTAGCTAACTCACTGGACTCTCACATGACTGACCATGGTTGGAGTCTCAGTCCCAGAGACCTCAAACACACCAGATCTGTGTGCATGCATGCCCAATATCCTGAGAGGAGAATGGAGGAGAAGGGATTGCAGCGTGGCCATCCCCCCCTAGGGGTGATATATCACTTACTGTCTTTCTCTTGTCTCATTGGTGAGTGCACACGCCCTATAGCAAAAAATCTGTCTCTAAAAAAAAGAAAGAAGAGGGGGATCAGCAGGTGGCATGGTGGTTAAGGCGTTGGACACTTCCACATGGCCAACAATCTTTCAAGTCCCAAAGTCCCAGACATGGTGGCTTGCTTTCTTATCCCTCCCCCCCCTCAAATTAAAATAAATGAATGAATAAATAAAAACTTGTTATAGTTATTTATTTTTAATTGTATTTATTCATTCATTTATTTTAATTTGACCAGAGAAAGGCAGTGAAAGAGAGAGAAAGTGAGAAAGCAAGCTACCAGGTCCAGGACTTGAACTGTCGTCGACCATGTGGGAGTGTCCAGCGCCTTAACCACCATGCCACCTGCTGTTCTCCCAAAAAATTATTAAAGAAAAAAAAAAAAGCCAACCTGGTCCGCCGCGGGACGTGGAGGGCGATGGTGTAGCTGTGTGCGGAGTCACGAAACTTTACGCGTTTTGACCCTGGAGATGAGCATCGGTTTTCTGCGTGACAAGGTGCTATAGTTTTAAGCTTGTTAATGATCCGATCTGATGTTTGTGTAAAGTGCCGTCCCTTAATCATCTTTTCCCAAACTATGTTGCACATCCACTCCTAAGCCGCTCCCCCGCCCAAAGAAACAGTCGTTAAAGCAACCCCAGGGACTTGATGGGGTAAACCGCGGTGGTCGCGGCTGCCCGGGCGTGAATGGGAAGGGCTCGGGACGCCGGCTCGCCTGGCGGTCCAGCTGCGGATCCGGTTCTGCTCAGATAAGCGCCGCCACCGGCAGCGACGTCCCCTCGGACAGCACCCCCGCAGGATGGCG